CCCCAAGCCCGAAGGTCTCTAGACCCACAACCCCAAAGGCCCTAAACCCGAAACCCTACCAACCTTACAGGCCCTGAACCCTCAAACCCCGAAGAGGTCGGAGCCTGAACCCTAAATCCCAGCCTCAATTCGAGTTTGGGGTTCAGGGGGTTAGTTTTCCGGGATAACTGAGGGTATTAAGACCCTACACGAATAGTTGCGAAAGAAAGTATATTAAAGAATGTTGTAGTATGGACTAGACTATCGCACCTGTATAGCGCTCGACTGTATATCATGACTGCGTGTGGCATGACGTCTCTTCAGGCGTGCGAGCCGGCAGGCACATGTTCCTGTCAGCCGAGGTCTTTGATTGCGTAGCTGATAGGGACACAGAGCCTGCCAAACAGAGGGTGCTGCAAGAACCGTCTCGTGCCGAAGTCCTGCATGGGAATGACTTGAAACGTTCCTAACCCTGAGCCCCTTCCCTAAATCCTGCGCCCCAAGACCCTAGACCCCAAACCCAGGTTTAGGGGATTTAAGGGTAATTATGTATATGTATATGTATATATATATATATATATTTTTTTTTTCTCATGTTTTTTGGGGGGGCCTTCCATAGTTTCTGGGATTACGTTTTCAGAGTTTAAGGCTTTAGCATGTCAGGGGTTCGGGTTTAGTTCAGCGTTTTCGGGGGTTGTAAGGCCTTAGGGCATATTGAAATATGCACAGTTTGCGGGCCAATGGTGCCACAACTCAGAGTATCCTGGGTTGCTCAGAGGCAAGATCTGTTAGCAGGATATCGAAATCGATACTCCTGGCACACTGGTCTGCAAATCTGTCTTACGCAAAGCGGGTTGGCTTTAGCGTCAGTGCTTTCAAGCTAGCCCTTAACCCTAAGCCCGAAACACCCTAAGCCCTAGACCCTATAGACGCTATAGACCCTATAGACCCTATAGACCCTCACATAGACCCTATAGACCCTAAACCCTAAACCACAAACCCTACACGCTGGACCTAGCGCAGCACCCTTCGCGACTTTGCCATCTCACGAACGCGCCCACAGCTTTGCTGCCTGGCAGAGCATGGAGAACTCGATCTAAAACACCGCCGGAGGGTCTGGGAGGGACTTGGGAAGGCTTTGAGGGTTTTTTTTGGTATTTTTAGGGTTTAGGGTTTAGGGGTTTAGGGGTTTAGGGGTTTAGGGGTTTGGGGGTTTGGGGGTTTAGGGGTTTAGGGGTTTAGGCCGTTTAGGGGTTTAGGGGCTCAGGGGCTTAGGGGCTTAGGGGTTTAGGGTTTAGGGCTTCTGTAGGTGTCTAGGGTTCGAAAACTTGGTGCTTGGATTCCATTGAAAGCTCAAGGGCGTTCACAAGCTATAGGAGCGTACATCCTTGACCTTCTGGGGTTTAGGGTTTAGGGTTTAGGAATTTAAGGCTTCGGAGATGGGGATTTTAGGGGCTTTTGGGTTCTGCGTCCGGGGGAGTTTCAGATGCTTGAAGTTGGCGTTTCCTTGAAGGGACACCAAGTGAAGCTGGATGTCGCAGCGATGGGGGAAGCAGTCGCCAACCTGGAATAGATGGTGGACCAGACTGAGCTGGCTCGTCATGGTGACCGCCACTGCAGCTACACCGCTACGCTTGCTCCAGGTACGGCTCTTCCCAGTTCGACAGCCGGCTGATCAGAAAGCCCCCAAGCCACTGCTTCAGGGGTATTGGGCGAGTGATCAAGGACTGCGAGACAGATGTGGTGGCGGGCCGAGGGATTTCAGGGATTTTAGGGATTGAGGGCTTCTCGGCCTTTTGGGGCTTTGGGGTTTAGGGTTTAGGCTTGGAGGGTTTCTCACCTCAAACCCAGTAATGTACGAAGTTTCAATGTGACGTTGCTTCGATTTACATAGAGGCCTTGTAAATGGAGAACGATGGGTCCTCGAAGCCCTAAACCCTAAGAACTATCAACCCTTGAACGTTAAACCTAAAACCTAAACACCAGGCTTCCCAAATTTCAGGCTACCGCATTGAGCCCGATACCCCTTACGTAAGGAAACATACCTGGGTTAAAAAGCAGGCTACCGCATGTGAGGAAAGGAAAATACCCTAAGCCCTAAACCCCATTCCATAATTATGGCGATTCCATAATTATGGCGTATTTGACCGCTCAACACCGACCCCGGCCTCTGCCCCGTTTTGGCCCAGCATTTTTTCTCGCCACGTCGCTCCAGAGTTCCCGCAGCCCTTGCACCAAGCATCCCACGATGCCCGGCCGGAGTTGAGATTTGCTAGGTATTGCTTTGGATAATTATACATTTCCCTTCTTTTCCTTGTAGGGGAACCTATTCATAAATAATTTTCAAAGGGCTTTCAAGCAACACCCAGTTTGGGTTCAGGCTGTAGTGGCTTGAGGGGCTTCGTGTTTATCAAAACCCGAAACCCTAGACCCTAAACCCTAAAACCAGGTCTTGGGATAAGAGTGTTTTGGGGTTTCATGCTTGTGCTTTTCAGGCCTAGGGTTTAGGATTGCGTGGGGAGGGGGAGGTAGGAAATTCGACACTAGGGAATCAACGAGTGGGGCATGTTTCTATCCCCCCTCCTATTTGTCGTGGGTGGGTTCGGATCCCCCAGCACATAAGAATTCTCGCCGTGTGAAGCTGTGTCCATCTAATGTAACGCCTCGAGTTCCCCTTCGACCCCTTTCCTCCATACTGTACTTTCGAAGCCCGAGCAACCCGTCCCCGTGCCAGACCTGTGCATGAATTAGCTGCCCTCGTGACAGACCAAAGTGCAAATCAGCAGCCGCCCCCCCCCCCCCCCCCCCCCCAAACGCCCTCAAAACACCTGGGTAGCTGAGTAGGTAACCGTTAACTTTTTCGGGTGTATAGTCCTACCATGATTGGAAGGTTAACCTGTTTTTGGGGCTAGGACACTGAACGCCCCAATAGCCCTAAGATCCTAGGTAGGATAAGGGGGACCCTTAAAAGGGAATCGCTTCTGAACCCTCTTCTGGCTCTCTTAGACAGGGGCCTTATTCAGAGGGTCTATATCCCCAAGGGTCCCCCTAATCCTATCCCCTACCCTAAACCCTCAACCCCAAACCCTAAAACCGTAAACCCTAAAACCCTAAACCCTCAACCCTAAACCCTAGAAACCCTGATATATCAATTCTGAGGATGGCCCGCTCCATGGTTCTGACCGGTGCCGTGCTCCTCTGCAGCGGCACGCCCCACCCAGCTCTTGGGCCTTAGGCTTCAGGCTTTAGGCTTTATAGGTCTTTAGGGGTTAGGGCTTAGGGTTTTATGGGTTTTTTGTAGGGTTATATAGGGTTATATCGGGTTATTTAGGGTTGTGTCGGGTAATATAGGGTTATATAGGTTTATGTAGGGCAATGTATGGGGTTATATAGGGTTATGTCGGGTTATGTCGGGTTATGTTTTTTCTTTTTTCATAGGGTTATTGGGTTTTAGGGTTTAGGCTCTAGGGTTTAGGGTTCAGGTTCAGGGTTCGGGGGTAATTTTGGGGTTGCGGGTTCAGGGTTCAGGGGTAGAGGAGAGTTGAGGGGCTTTGTAGGCCCAGCCTGTTGAGGGTTTAGCGGCTTAGAGGTTTCGGATATGGGCGTCGGCGGTTTAGAGAAGTTACTGCACTGAGTTGGTATCGTGGTTTCCTGTTTGAGTTAAGTCCTGCTGCTCTCTCATGTTTTCTCAGACTCACTGGCAAGCTCCAGGCCACATCCCAAAGCCCCAAACCCTACAAAAGTCGGGCCATACTCAATCAGGGCGTGCGGGGGTTCTGGGAAGAGGACACTGTGATCATCATGAGGAGCCCCAGAGTGCCATCTCCCCCACCTCTTTGTCAGGTGCAATGTTTTAGGATTTAGGGTCTAGGGCTCAGTATTGAGGGGTTTACAGGGGCTTCTAGTATGTAGAGTTAGGGTTTTAGGATTTCAGGTTTAGGGTTTAGAGGCCGGTGGTTTTCCTGTGTAGGGTTTCTAGGAACTCCATTGGTGCCATTCCTTGGGCGGGGGGGGGGGGGGGCGTTGCAAGGTTCTACACAAGAAGATGCGCCTTGTCATTTCTCGGTCACTCGGGAACCTAGATGAAGGGCCTGAGGCTTTACTCTTTCAATGGGGGTTACAAAGAAGTTAGCAACTTTCATCTAAACGTTTAGCTGTGCATTACCTTATCTGTGGTCTGCTATCTCTACTTTACTTCTTCACATGACGCACCCTAAACCCTAAACCCTAAATCCTAAAACCCTAAACCCTAAACCCTCAACCCTAAGCCGCAAACCCCCCAAAACCCCCTTTGCCTCCGAAGTCGCAGGCGCGCTTTTCACGGCCTTCGTGGCCGCGCCGCGCGCCGCCCCGGCACCAACCGTGCCGCATGCCGCCACCGCAGCCCTCAGCCTCGTGTCTGATAGGGTTTAGGGTTTATAGGGTTTAGGGTTTAGGTTTTAGGGTTTTGGGTTCAGGGTCTAGGGTCTAGGGTTTATACGGTTTCCAGGATCGTGTCTTCAAAGTCCAGACGGGTTGTGATAGAGCTTGGGCCAGGAGAGGGGCGGATTGGGTTCGTTTTGAAGATGCCGCCCTGAATCCTAAACACTAAACCCACAACCCTAAACCCTAAACCCTAAACCCTAACGAAGCTTCCCTGGCACTTTGGGTTCAGGCTTGGGGCTTAGAGACTGTTGTTGGTGAGTGTTCCTTTCAATGGCTTGGAAAAGACATGGGTGAGTAGATGTCATGGAGTGTTCCTCTTTGGGGATACTAGTCATAAACCCCACTTCTTACTAGCATTTCTATTGCAAGCTACCAGGTAGGTCCGAGGAGAGCAGCAAATCTTTTTAGAGGGATATATACGCTCCTTAGTTGAGGTGGTGCTCTTTGGGTTCCAAGGCCTTAGCAGTACTTACCAACCCCCAAGCCGTCATCCACTAAACCCTGAACCCTGAACCCTAAACCCTCAAAACCACCTTTTTTTTTTTGCAGCCAAAGGTGCCATTACCCTGGTGGCCCCTGAGGCAGCCCATGCCGAGGCGACTCAAAGGTTTCCAGGGTTTAGGGGTTTAGGGTTTAGTTTTTTTAAAAGTTAGGGTTTAGGGTTTAGGTGTTTAGGGGTCTAGGGGTTTAGGGGTTTAGGGGTTTAGGGTTTAGGGCTTAGGGTTTAGGGTTTAGGGTTCAGGGCGGTTTGGGGTTTAGGGGTTACCTGCCATCCATGACTTTCCTCCAAGACAGTATGAAGTTCACCCTAAGCCCCAAACGCTAATCCCCAACAAGAGGCATGCTTCAGCTCTTGCGCGTGCGTGCGTGCGTGCGTGCGTGCGTACGTACGTGCGTGCGTACGTACGTGCGTGCGTGGGTGGGTGTGTGGGTGTGGGTGTGGGTGTGGGTGTGGGTGTGGGTGTGGGTGTGGGTGTGGGTGTGGGTGTGGGTGTGGGTGTGGGTGTGTGTGTGTGTGTGTGTGTGTGTGTGTGTGTGTGTAGCCTTGTCGAGTGAAAGCGAATTCCGGCCGTCAGGCAAAACTCCTGGCTCGAACGTCCCACTCACTGGCTCCCAAACCCAGCAAGCCCTGAACCCTAAACCCGGGGTCCCTCCTGCCCGAAAACCTCCCCCCCCCCCCCCCCCCCCTTTCCCCCAAGCCGTCGCAGGGCGGCGCCGTGTGGATCCCGGCGCTCTCCGCCATCGGCGCCGGCTTCGCCATTGGCCTCGCAGCCATCGGCTCCGGCGTGGGCCAGGCCTAGGGGTTCTTTTTGGTTAGGATTAGGGCTTAGTGCAAGCCACACAGGCCAACAGGCCAACGGCAGTTTCTAGCTTGATCTGCCCTCATATCCTTGATGAAGGCTTCGGTGCCTTTGTGAGCCTTCAAGCCCGAAACCCCGAACCCCATGAGCCTAGGAAGTTGTCGTTGGTTACCAATGAGTGGGTGACATGTGCCAGCATGCCCGGCGGCTTACCCTACGGCCTGTACACCCTGCCTGCAGGGCATTGCCAGTGGCCGCTGCATTGATGGCATCTCCCGCCAGCCAGAGGCGAAGCCCCAAAGCTCAAGCCTGAACACCAGCACCCCGAAAGCTCCCTTTTCCTCCAGAGTCGATACCTTCAGAGTCGATAGGGTTTAGGTGTGTTAGGGAAACCCTAAACCCTAGACCCAAAACCAGGGGCGTCGGGAACTGCAAAGGCGCACCTCGTCCAAGATGCTGTTTAACAAGGGGGGTTGATCTAACCTAGCGTCCCCTTCTGAGTCCCTATCATTGCCTATCGAGCAAGGTACCCACAAGGGCCACGAAGCATCGCCTTAGAAACACCAGGCCGCGACGCCCTAAACCCCTAGAGCTTACAGTAAACCCTGAACCCCTAACCCCTAAGTATCTTGGGATGTATACTGACAGTCCTTAATTGGCATTCTAGTACCCCTTCCCCCTAGTATCATCCCAATTACGGAGCCGTTAGTATAAGGGGGAGCATCCCAACCTGTACCCTAAACCCGAAACCCTAAACCGTAAACCCTAAACCCTCAACCCTAAACCCTCCCCTGTACCCCCCTAAGCCCCAGTCGTGAAAAGGTGGCCGATGACCTCCGCGGCGTGCTGCTGCTCGGCCGGAGCATTCGGGACCTGGACGGTCACATATCATCGGGTTCAGGGTTTAGGGTTGAGGGTAACTTGGTTATGTGGAAGGGGGGGGGGGGGAAGGTTTCCGAAGTTGGGGTACCCTTTTCATGGGTTCCCCTACTACCACCCTCTATACTACTCCCCCTAGGTTCTCCCCTTAAATGACCCTTCTAAAGCTTTTTATCCCTTCTTTGCCGTAACTATGGGGGGAACCTAGCTAGTATAGAGGGGAGTAGTAGGGGGGAACCCATGACCTTTTTCAGGGGTTCGTATTGCAGTGAGGATTCGAGTACTTTGTGCTATACCGGGGGGTTTGGGATGAACTTCTAGGGTCTCCCACACCTCCCTTCCCCCCCCCCCTCCCCCACAAAAGATGTGTTTTACAAGTTGAGGTTTCTAAACCCTGAGTTGCCAAGAGGTGTGGGAAGTCGGGGGAAGACGCAACAAGTCTAAACCCTAAACGCAAAACCCTAAACCCTAGACCTCCAAAGGCGGGGAGGAAGATTTGGGACCCGCTCTAAAGGAGTGGGTTCCGAGTTCAAGAAGCTTGGGGGGGGGTCAAGGGATTAAGACTCGCACCCAAAAGGTTGTACCCCTAAAGGGTCCCCCGAATATACTCCCACAATATGGCCCTCGTATTTCCTTAAGGATCTTTAGTAGGGTCCCCCAAACTCAAGGGTACAATGTTAAGGATCCCAAACGCAAGCCCTAGAAACGGCCGTGAAGCCCCGCCTCTAGTGCTTCGGGCTCTCGGTTTACAAGCACTCAGCCCGAAACCCTGAACCCGGAAGCCTTGCAAGTATATTAAGGGCTGATTCCTATAAACCCCTATAAGCCCCTATAGACCCTAGAAAGCCCTAGAAAGCCCTAGAAAGCCCTAGAAAGCCCTGGAAAGCCACGGAAAGCCCCAGAAAGCCCTAAGGCTGCTGTCCCTGGCCTTCATGGAGTCCTTGACCATCTACGGCCTGGTGATTGCGCTGGTTGCCGGCCTCAAGGGAGGAGGGGCAGAAACTTGGGTTTGAGGGTTTACAGGGACCCGGAGCTCCCAAAAAACACCGTAGCCTAAGCCAAAACCCCCACGCCCCAACCCTAAGCAAGCAGGGTGTCGAGCGCAGTTTGTATCGTTTTGCTCACTGGTTATGATGGGGTTTCGGCAGAACCCCGGTTCAAGTCAAAGGCAAGCAGCTAAGAAATGCAGCAGCCTTAACTCATTGCCAAGGATATCCCCTCATAGCTTCTAACCCTTTTGTACTCAATTACAGAACCCGAAACCCTCAGCTCAAAAGCCCTAAGCCCTAGTAAGCACTAAATCATGAATCTGCAAAGACCACAGAAACTACCCCTCCCCCCAATACCAACCCTAGAGTCCTTTAGACCCTTGGTTTTTCCGCATTTTGCCTTGGCAGTATTTTTTCTTTTTCCAACTCGGGCGCATCCTCGAGTTGCGATTCTCCTGCAAGCCTATTTCGGTCATCCCTAGATGAACCTAAGGACCCCGCAAGACCCCGCAAGATTTTACACCCCTTAAACTTGATCTTCCTTGCGGCTTCTGTGGTCTCGCAGGTGTCGTAGAGCTTCGGGTTTGGCGCTAGGGTTTCGGGTGTTGGGTTGTTTTCAAGGTTCCGGGGCTTTGGAGTGCAGGGCGCCTTGTGCCAAAGGCACCTAGGGACACGTCAACCGAAGGTGCTGCTCTTCGCGAACCCGCTGATCAAGTGAGCCTGCAAGACGTGGACGATGTTGGAGGGAGTTCTCCAAGTCCAACAGGGCGGACTGCGCCGTCGCTGCCCAGGCAGGTAGTACGACATAGAGTACGACGTAAAGGGGCAAGCGACGCGCGTGCTTTCAGAAAAGCGGGGTTTGCGTGGAGCGCTGGGGATTTTGACTCGGGGAACTCTCCATAACCTGAGTGGACAATATCTTGATGGAACCGTCCCCACCCTAAACCCTAAACCCTAAACCCTAAACCCCTAAACCCCTAAACCCCTAGCGCCCTCCAATAAGGCAAAATCATCCCTTTGCTACAAAGACCTTGGGGACCCTCAAGCCTCGTAAATAGCCCGGTCTGGGTTCTAAACTATAGCACACTCCCTGTCGGTAAGGGCACCCAGGAGGGAAAGGTTGCGACAACTCAGAGGGTTTAGGGTTTATGGTTTAGGGTTTAGGGTAGGGTTTATAGGGTTTAGGGTTTAGGGTTTCGGGCTCAAGGTTTCCTGGTGTGACCATCCCGTGAGGCGACCGTTCTGAGGGTAGTTTCATGGGCCCCTTAATATGGTCCCTAGCCTCCTTTAAAGGGTTCTGATTAGGGTTTAGGGTTTAGGTTTAGGGTTTAGGGTTTAGAGTTTAGGGTTTTGGGTATGGACCCGCAATTTGCTTGGGGTATATAAGGGGTATATAAGAGGTACCTTTTTATGGGCAGACGAAGGGACCATGTAGCTACCCTACTCGTAGCCCCCTATGAAGCAGAACAGGGGCGCGCTTGCTCTTCTTAGTTGGTTTACTCTTGTTGGGCGTAGGAGCAAGTCCGCATGCCACTTGAGACGTTGTACCTTGTTTCCGTCTGGAAGCTTGAGAGCCCGCTCTTCCTACATCGGCTCAGCGTCCGATTTTCCTCGCCGCATTTCTTCTGTTCCGCACCCACGCCCGAAGCTTGTCAAGGCTGCTTGGTGGCAACTTCCGAGACTCCAAAACTGCTGACCTTCAAACCCTGAATTAAGCCATAAGATCTGCACCTTCAAATGCTAAGGGGTTTTGTTCGATGCCTTGTGTCTTCGGTTTGCGGCTTGCTTGAGCGAATGGCCCAGCGGGGTGTCAGCGGGGTGTAGGGCTTCAGCATCGCGGAGCTCAGCGGTTGGGGTTTCGGGCTTCCGGGCTCAGGGGTCTTGGTTGGAAGAGCTCAGCAAACTTCGGTTTTTTTTTTTTCGGAGTAGGGGTGCTCCGGGAATTCGGGTCCGTAGCCTGGGTGACATGGGGTTGTGGGTCCTTGCTTCGGAGGGCTTGGAGGCATAAATCTGACACATCTCTCTTTAGGGTGCTCAGGGTTCGGGGTGTAGGCTTTCGAGGCCCCAATCCCCAAAACAACACCAAGCAAGAAGCTCCCCTAAACTCTAAACCCTAAACCCTAAACTCTAAACCCTAAACCCTAAACCCTAAACCCTAAACCCTAAACCCTAAACCCGCTGACCCGGGGTGCCCCATAAATCCCCCCAGAAAAGAAGCTTTGAGGATGGCCCGCTCCCTCGCTTTGACCGGCCTGGTGCTCCTCTGCAGCGGCCTGGGGCCCTAAGATGCGGGTTTAGGGTTTAGGGTTTAGGGTTTAGGGTTTAGGGTTTAGGGTTTAGGGTTTGGGGGTTTGGGGGTTTGGGGGTTTTAGGGTTTTAGGGTTTTAGGGTTTTAGGGTTCTAGGGCATGAAAGTTGCAACTGGACA